TGAGACTCCAGCTAAAAAAAAAAAAAAAGAAAGGTAAGCTTTTAAAGTTGGAAAGTACAAAAGCGGCTTCAGTGGCTGTGTTCATATGTATACATTCAGTTACCTTCATTTATTTTGAACTTTCATATTCGAAACAAGCCAGAGCCTCGCAGAAGGTCACAGAGGAGGGCCCTGGCACTAAGACTAAAGCCCCCCGCATGCTCTGTGCGTGGACTTGGGCCTGACTCCCATTACTCCTCGGAGAAAACGGCTGAATTACCACCTCCCAAAGAGACATGCCCGAGAGCTTAGCTGGAAAACCTTCTCCCCGATTCTGTTTCCTCGTCGTTAGGTCAACGTATTGCTGTTGACCCCCTGTAACTTAGAACCACTAAATAAAACTGGAACTGGACATCCCGGTCTGACCACACAATATTCTCCAAGCATGACCAGTAGAAACACTTTTCATAAGCTGAATCCTCTTACTGTCTAACTTATCTCCTCGGAGTAAATTAGAAAAATGCTTCAGCCTTTTGAAAAATCATCAGCCAGGCACACTGGCTCATGCCTGTCTTCCCACACTTTGGGAGGCTGAGGTGAGAGGACTGCCCGAGCCCGGGGGTTTGAGACCAGCCCGGGCAACTTGGCAAGACCTCGTCTCTACAACGAATCAAATAACTTAGCCGGGCGAGGTGGCGTGTGCCTATGGCTCCAGCTACTTGGCAGGCGGAAGCGGAAGGACCACCTGAGCCCAGCAGATCAAGGCTGCGAAGGCTGTGAGCATGCCACTGCACTCCATCCTAGGCGACGGAGGGAGACTCCTACTCAAAAAAAAAAAAAAAAGCGAGAAAGGGAAAAGCATCAAAAGCAAGATTTGGGGAGAAACCATGTAAAAGGTAACCGAATACAAAAAGGCTGGTTAAATGCTTCAAGATCTATTTTGGCTCTATTTCCATTGCTAATGCAACATCCTCTCTAAAGATATTCAGTGTTTGATTTAGACCTTATTGTTGAAGAACCAAAATCTTATCTAACTTTTCTAATTCTCTTTCCAGCCAAAGAAGCATCAGCTCTAGTGGAAAAGATTAGGTGAGGCAGCCTTGGATATTACATTTTATCACAAGCATTCCCACTGGGACTAAATTATCCTCCCAGTTAATACAACAAAGCAAAAGCACTGAGGTGGAAGGAACTGAATTTTTACCGGATTTGCCCTCAGCACTGCTCAGCGCCGTCTCATCGCTATGAAAATTTCTAAAACTATACAAAACCCAACCTATGTGAAAAATGTTTCCTGAGGACACATAAAGCAAATTTAACTAAGAAACACAACTAAAAACCCCCGTGTGAAGAGACCACCACTGCATTCTTCATTAGCCAAAGTTACTCTTAACATAAGAAGTAATCCTACCAGCGCTTTGGGAGGCCGAGGTGAGTGGCTTGCCTGAGCCCGCAGGTTCGAGACCCGCCCGGGCAACTTGGTGAGACCTCATCTCTACAATAAAAAAAAAATGAGCCAGGCATGATAGCGCGTGCCTATAGTTCCAGCTACTTGGAAGGCTGAGGCGGCAGGATCACCGGAGCCCAGCAGGTCGAGGCTGAGGTGGCTGGGCCGGGAGCGTGCCACTGCACTCCAGTCCAGGCGACAGGGTGAGACTCCAACTCAAAAAAAAAAAAAAAGTAGTCATCCATGAGAGCTGTAAGTATCCATCACAATGAAAATTATGGCAATGTGTATAAAATTTTATACTGAATCTGAATATAATGGTTAATGTGTTTATTGGGTAGGCCTCCCTCTTAATTCACTTAAGTGAAAGCATAATGTAAAGTAAAGCTGTTGGGTTTTTTCTTACCTTTTTCATTAGGTCCAGGAATAAGAACATTATCCACTATGACACTGGCTGTTTCCTAAAAGAAGAAATACATGGGGTAACTCCTTCGTATACCCTCCCACTGTGGGAACTTTTCTATCCTCTCAATAAATCCTGCTTTCTCACCAATAAAAAAGAAGACGAGGAAGAAATACATACTAAAGTAATTCCATTTCATAAGTCTGGAAAGAACAAAGCCTCAACAGAAATCCAGCGTCTCTCCTGGAACCATACAGTGCAACAGAGGGGAATCTAATTTACAAGAAGGTCAGCAGAGAGCAGAGCTATTTCACTCTATCCAACAGCATTCTTTGTCAAATATGTTTAAGGCTTCCACATCAACTGTAAAAATTCAGTGTCAATGCCATAGTCAGTTACAGTTTATTTCAAATGACTTCTAATGCTATAAAAATGATCACTGCTAATTTGCTCAAATATAAACTAACAGCAACATTCAAAGCACCAACTGGAAAAGAAAAATTAAAAGCTGAGTTAGGACAAAGGCGTGAATCCCAGCACCCCCAGTGGTTCTCAGTCTAGTCTCTGTCAGATCACTGAGAGGAGACGGCAATTAACTCTTCAAGTATTTATGAATCTCCAGTTTCCTGAATCCTCAAGGAAGTAAAGAGAGAATGAAGGCACCGCTGGTTTTTAAAAAGTGCCCTCAAATACTGTACTCTCCTAACTGCTTAATTTCATTCCTTGTACTCAATTATATATGTAACAGAAGTTAAGGGCCATTTTTTTATGCGCACACACCATACCTTGGGCAACATGTTTGGATATCTGTCTTCCTGCTGACTTGGCTCTGAAGGATTCAAGACGGCCCCTGAAAGAGAATAAGGGGCACTGGTTACAAAGTATCTTATGTCCCTCATAAACACATTTCATTCTTCTTTTCTGAGAATGAAAATAAATACCTTGCTAGCAACCAACCTTCATTTCTAAAGTTCAGTTTCATTCCCATGAAATAGTTGCAAATTTACACATGTGAATGCTTTAACAATCAAATGTACTTTCATTCACTCAATCTTAATTTATTATTAACATATTAACAACTACATAAATAATAAAATAACAAATTGTTGTTAGACATTAAAAATATTAAAGTACAAAGTAGAAAATCGAAAGAAAAAACGTTATTATTGGCTTTTTGCACATAAATTTTAAAATTCTACAATTGTGAGATTTATCTCTCAGGTTTAGTTTGCTTGCTATACCAACTTGTGCCATAAAGTATTACTGTGTGAGTGTGTGCGTATACCTGTGTATATCATAAGGCACAAAGAGGCTGGGTGTGACGGCTAATGCCTATAATCCCAGCACTTTGGGAGACCAAGGTGGGAGGATTGCCTGAGCCCACAGGTTTGAGACCAGCCAGGGCAACTTGGCAAGACCTCATCTCACCATAAATCAAAAGAAAAGTAGCCAGGCATGGTGGTACACACCTATAGTTCCAGCTACTTGGAAGGCTGAGGCAGAAGGATCGCCTGAGCCCAAGAGGTCGAGGGTGCGGTGGCCGAGAGCAGCTGCACTCCAGCCTGTATGGCAGAGTGAGACTCCAGCTAAAAAATAAATAAATAAAGTTCTGTGTGAACTGGGGTAATCCATGTAGTTTCCTACAAAAGATTAAAACCCTGCCATATCTTGCTGTCATTCCTAACGTTTGGACCCAGACTTTAGAAAATTTTTATTTTAATCTGCTAGTTTTTCTTAGATTATGTTCTAGCGTTTCTTAAATTATTTTGCTTAGAAGACTAGCAGCAAAACATAATCAACTAATAACAAACTTCTTTGAATAATACTATAAGCCAACTGGATTTAATAGACATCTACAGAACATTCCATCCTATATATATATACCAGGTACACATTGAACGTTCTCCAGAACAGACCTAAGCAATTAAATAAGCCTGAATACATATGTAAGAATTAAAATCATCAGGTGCAGTGGTTCATGCTCCAGGCCTGCAGCTCCACCTACTTGGAAGGCTAAAACAGAAGGTTCCCCTGAGCCCAGCAGGTTGAGGCTGTGGTGCCCGTGAGCATATCGCTGCCCTCCAGCCTGGGCAACAGTGAGATTCCAACTCAAAAGAACAAAAGAAAGAAAGAAAGAAAATGCTTTGCTTTTGCTATACCTCATAAACGTTGGTATGCTATGTTTTCATTTTCATTAATCTCAAAGTATTTTCTAATTTCTCTTCTGATTTCTTTTCTGATTCATTGTTTATTTATAAGTTTGTTGTTTAATTTCCACATATTTGTGAATTTTCCAAATTTCCTTTTGTTGCTAATTTCAACACTAATTCCATTATGGTCAGAAAATATTCTTTACATGATTTTAATTTTTTTTTTTTTTTTTGAGTAGGAATCTCACTCTGTCACCTAGGCTCATGGCCACCACAGCCTTGACCTGCTAGGCTCTGGTGATCCTTCTACCTCAGCCTTCCAAATAGCTGAAACCACAGGCATGTACCTCCATGCCTAGCTAATTTTCAAAATTTATTGGAGAGACAAGGTCTCATCAAGTTGCCTAGGCTGGTCTTGAACCCCTGGACTAAGGCAATCCTCCTGCCTCTGCCTCCCAAAGTGCTGGGATGACAGGTGTAAGCCACTGCGTCTGGCCAAAAGCAGTGCAATGAGGAAAATTTATAACTACAAATGCCTACCTCAAAAAAGAAAAAAGATCTCAAATCTGTAACCTAAAATTTCACCTTATGGAACTAAAAAAAGAAGAGCAAACTGGACTGAAGTAAGCACAAAGAAGGAAATAATTAAGATGAGAGTAGAAATAAGTGAAATAGAGACTTTTTTAAAAAAAAGAAAATCAATGTAATCAAAGTTGGTTATTTGAAAAGAACAACAAGCTGGGCTCGGTGGCTCAGCCAGTAATCCCACGCCTTTGGGAGGCTGAGGTGGTGGACTGCCCGAGCCTGCGGTTTTGAGAGCCACGTAGGTAGGCGAGACCACATCTCTACAATAAAATCAAAAAATTAGCCAGGCATGGTAGCACGCACCTGTAATTCTGGCTACTCGGAAAGCTGAGGCGGAAGGATCGCCGGAGCCCGGCAGGTCGAGGCTGCGGTGGCCGGGAGCGGCCACTGCACTCCAGTCTGGGTGACAGAGTGAGACTCCAACTCAAAAAAAAAAAAAAGAAAAGAACAACAAAATCGATAACCCTTTAGCTAGACTGACCAAGAAGGAGAGGAAACTCAAATTATTAAAATCAAGAACAAAAGAGGAGACATCAGCACCAACCTCACAGACATAAAAAAAAAACTGTAAGAGAATGTTCTGAACAGTTGTATGCCAAAGAGTTTGATAACTCAGACAACTTGGGCGGATTTCTACAAAGACACAAACAGTCGAAACTCACTCAAGAAGACATAGGCAATCTGAATGGACAGCCACAACAAGAAAACAGATTGAATTAGTAATTTAAAACTGCCCGCGAAGAAAAGCCCAAGCTCAGATGGCTTCACAGGTGAATTCTGCCAGTTAAAAAAGACTTATACCAGTCCTTCCCAAATTCTTCCACAGTTTACAGTGTGATTTTCTTCAGTAAAAGAGGAAGGCACCACCCTCCTCTCTGATGTACCTGTCTCTTTGTACTGGGACAGTACATAACCATCTTTTTGCCAATCTGCTAACCTCCCATCAAAAAAAGGAAATCAACTTTGTGTGGGCAACAGACTGGGAGTCAACCAAGAGGACAGAACAACTCCCACATCATTCTACGAGGCCAACACTACTCTGATGCCAACACCAGACAAACCACAAGAAAACAACAGACCAATATCCCTTATGAATAGAGACACAAAGATCCTCAATAAAATACTAGCAAACCAAAGCCAGAAACATATGAGAAGGGTTAGATACGGTGCCCAGATGGGATTTACTCCAGGAACTCAAGATTTGCTTAATATCTGAAAATCCATTGACGGAATAGATCACATTACAGAATGAACGACCAAAACCATGTTCATGTCAATGGATGGCAGAAAAGTGTTTGACAAAACCCAATACCATGCCATGATTAAAATTTTAAAAAACTCTAGAGACAGAAGAACATTTCCTCAATTTGATCTATAAAGGCCATCTATAAAAACCCTTAACACCATTAATGGTGAAAGACAGACATTTTCTCCCTTAAGATCAGGAACAAGAGAAGGATGTCTGGTCTTGTTGCTTCCAATCAACATGATAATAAAGTCCCAGTCAGGGCAACCAGGCAAAAAAAAAAGGAAATAATACACACACTGAATTTGTGTAGAACAAGATGTGAAATTTGGGGGCGGTAGGAGCATTAAAAGCCACTGTCTTTTTGGTATTGGTAATAATAGAGACAATACCTCAAAACCATATAAAATGGAAGAATCAAAATGGCTCTCTTAAGAAGCGGGTAGAAAGTTTCAGATTTCATGTCACTACTGGAAAACAACTGCTGATTATTGAAATATAAATGCAAAATGTGATACAGAGGAACATCCATGGCGAAAACATAGTAACAGAAAGTAAAGACACTAGTTTCTGGAACAAGTTGGTCATGTCCTGAGATCTGAGGGAATGCTGCAACAATGAGAAGAGACCACCTAATGGCTGCAACCTAAATTGCAGGAATAGCACCAAGGAGGAAATAGAAGACCCTTCTCTACAAGACCAAGAACATCTAATCTACAAAGCCATGCCTGGAAGTTGGAATAGAAAAGGCCAAAAAATCCTCTAGCTGAGCATGGTGGCTCACACCTGTCATCCCAGCACTTTGGGAGGCTGAGGCCAGAGGATGGCCTGAGCCTAGGAGTTCAAGACCAGCCTGGGCAACACAGTGAGACCTCGCCTCTACAATAAATCAAAAAATTAGCTGGGTGTGGTGACGTGTGCCTGCAGTCCCAGTTACTTGGGAGGCTGAGGTGGGAAGATCTCCTGAGCCCAACAAGTTGAGGCTGCAGTAGCCACGATTGTGCCACTGCACTCCAACATGGGTGACAGAGTGAGACTCAGACTAAAAAAAAAAAAAAAGTCCTCTAAAATGAAAACCATCCCACCAAGCAGAATAAAAATTAAAGGCAAGGGGGCCAAACACTGGATAAAGGATAACTCTGCCCATGGTGGCAGCAAAAGAAGACTGGGTCACATTCTGTATGCTCATCTGCATCTCAGTCCCGGGGTTCCATGAGCGGCTCTCCTGTGTTTCCAAAGAATCGTCACATCTCACTTTCAGCAAACTGTACAACTCACTTTTTCAAAACTCACAACTGAATTGAAAACACCAACTCAACAGTTTACAGTTCAATAATGCGACGTTCTTCAGTAAAAGAGGAAGGCACCCACCTCTTTTTCCTCTCAGATATACGATCTCTTTCTACTGGGACAGTAAATGATCATCTTTTTGCCAACCCACTAATCTCCCATCAAGAAAGGAAATCAACTTTGTGTGTGTCACAGGCTAGGAGTCAACCCAGAATGTGAAATTTCCATCTACTTGCAGTCCAACTCATTCTCTGCTTCATAAACGACACTGAGTGGAAATATACCCTGACATCTAGCTCAGAACACTGAAGTGTAAACCATACCTGTGTATCTAATGAAACTGGCATGGGTTTCTACTGAGAACAGCAAGCCGTATAGGTGGCTTCCGAGGCCGGGAAAGGCTCAGATCAGGAAAAGGCCCTAGCAACCCCCTCGGGTCTCCTCTCACTGTGGGAGCTTTTCTGTCTTCTCAATAAATCCTGCTTTCTTATAAGAAGAAGAAGAAGAAGAGGAAGAAGAAGAGGAGGAGGAGGAAGAGGAAAAGAAAAGGCCCTGCAGGGACCCCTGAATTTCATGTGCTCAGACAGCTTCAGGGTGAAGCATTTGGCCGTGCTAAACTCAGTGAAGTCGTGTGGGAGAGTCAAAAGGAATCAGCCAGGTTATGCAGATACTATCCCGCTGGAAGTCTACTGAGAACTAATGTCCCATTAACAGGAAAAATCAGAATAAAAGTCAATCTGAAGCGACAGTTTTCTGGTACAAATCTCTCAGGATTTCTTCCTCATGTGTGCACGGGCTTGTGCGCACTCAACATATTCCCATAGAACATGTGTGCAAACACACAGAGCTAAAAACATGCCAGCGTGCAGAGAGCCCAAAGTAAAGATGTCGATTCAAAGAAGCTTCCAACCCAGGAGCCCTGAGTCTGTGACAGAAGGCCCAAGATCGCCACTGGTGGTGTCAATAAACCCAAGGGAATGAACAGGACAGGTGATGTTTTACAGCCAAAGAATCAGTACAGAAAACTCCATGAGCTTTATCGACAACTGTATTTAAGCTGCTTCCACTGTGAGGCAGGACACAGTTTCAAAACAGGACAAACACAGGGAAGGATCAAGCCATGGCAGGATGGACGGTGTTCAAGCAAGACGGAGCTCAAGGCTGTGGCGGGAAAACAGCCACAAAGATGAAAGAAAAACCCGAGATGATTCCAGAGGTATCATTTGCACAGAAAGATGAGGGGGAACCAGTTACATTTTTTACTTATAATCACATGACAAAAGAAAGGATCACATTAACTATATTTTACTTAAATATTGTGATTCTGATCATGTCTAGGACTCAAAGAGCTTCAGAGTTTTGGACAGAAAGCTGATTCCATTAGCTGCTAAAAATGAAACACTTTTAAAGTGCAATTTGCTGGCCAGATGTGGTGGTCCACGCCTGTAATCTCAGCACTTTGGGAGGCTGAGGCAGGAGGACTGCTTGAGCCCGGAAGCTTGAGGCTGCAGTGAGCTATGATCACGTTGCGGCACTCCAGCCTGGGCAACAGAGTGAGATTCCAACTCAAAGAGGGAAGGGGAGGGGAGGGGAGTTGATCCTATTAGATGCTAAAAATGAAACATTTTTAAAGTGTAATTTGCTGGCCAGGTGTGGTGGTCTATGCCTGTAAACTCAGCACTTTGGGAGGCTAAGGAGGGAGGGCTACTTGAGCCCAGAAGTTCAAGGCTGCAGTGAGCTATGATCACACCACTGCACTCCAGCCTGGGTAACAGAGTGAGACTCCAACACAAAGAGGGAAGGGAAGTAAAAGGAAGGGAAGTAAAATTACAGTTCCTGTAGGACAGAGCGAGGGCCGCATTCTTACCATGGTTTGTGATGAGATGGATGGCTCGGTGATGCCCCATGTCCTGAAGGACCTGGAGAAGGTCCCCGATGGTCTTGTTTTTCTGTGCCCAGGACCACAGTAACTCTCGGGTCCCACTTTTACCTTGCTCTACGTATTTTTCAATATGGCGGACCTCCAGCCAGCTGCTTGAAAGTCGCTCTGCTGTAGAAATTGCAACAGGAAGAACCCAAGAACAGTTAGTCGACTGCACTTTTATCGGAATACTCGGTGTGTGTGCTCTGTATGTTTGGCCTCATCTTATGAACACTTTTAACTCTGAACTAAGTTGGCACGCGCACACCCGCCTTCTGCGAATGTCAGCTCCTCACCACCACACAAGGGTCCATCTGTGATACAGCCAACTGCAGACCTCATCCTCATTCCTCCAGCTTTACCCCGACGTCCCTTTTCTGTTCTAAGATCCTGTCTAGTTTTCCATATTACATCTGATTGTTCCTTTTCCCTTGTCTCCTCCAGTCTGTGACAGTTCCTCAGTCCTTCAGGACAGTGGAATGATGCTGACAGTGGGATGGTGTTGACAGTGGAATGATGTGTGTCCTTTTCGGTGCAGTTTTACGGTGTGTCTTGTTACCAGTGATGTCTGTCTTGATTGCTTGGAGAAGGTGGGGTCTGCAAGGTTTCTCCACCATGAAATCATCTGTCTCCTTCTAGTGAGTGACTATATATATGGAGACACTTCAAGATGATGTAAACACCCTGCTTCTCCTCAGACTTGGCCTACCACACCTACATCCCCCAGTGGGCCTCACTGACCACAGCTACCACCGTGGGGCTTGCTCAATGGCGATTTCCTATGTTCCCTTTCTCTTCTATGTTCATCAACTGCAACTCTTCTGTAAGAAAGAGCTGGCCAGGCTGGGCATGGTGGCTCATGCCTATAATCCCAGCACTTTGGGAGGCCGAGGTAAGAGGACTGCCGGAGCTCACAGATTTGAGACCAACCTGGGCAACTTGGCGAGAGCTCGTCTCTACAATAAATTAAAAAATTAGCCGGGTATGGTGGTGTGCACCATAAGTCCAGCTACTTGGAAGGCTGAGGCAGAAAGATTACCTGAGCCCAGCAGGTCGAGGCTGTGGTGGCCGTGAAAGTGCCCCTGCATTCCAGCCTGGATGACAGAGTGAGACTCCGACTTTGGGGGCAAAAAAAGAAAGAGTTGACCCGCCTCCCCGTTTATTTATTTGTTTAATTTTTAGTTTACATCAGTATGGACTCTTGGGTATTTATTTTATTCCACAAGTTAAACGCCAAGACTATCATAATCTATTCTGTTGCTAAAACTGTCCCCGCTTTGCCCACCAAGGCTGGTGCTTGTGTCATTGACGAGTCCGCTCCTTTCTGAGCATTACCTTACTTCTGTCTGCATGAGGTGCTGTGGGTTCATTCTGTATCTCCCTGCCCCAATACTGGAACCCGGCAGTTGTCCAAGATCTCTGGTTCCTTTACTGGGTGGTATTTAGAAGCCAAGACCCAGGTGCGCGACACATTCATCGTGGCCAAGGTACCAGGCTCCTGAGCCCTCCAGGCACAGAGCTGGGAAATGTATAAATACACACTAACACATGGCCTGTATTTCTCCATCTGCCTGTACACATTCTCAAGACCAAGAAGCTGAATGTGGGAACTCACACCTGTAATCTCAGGACTTTCAGAGGCTGAGGAGGGAGGATCACTAGACCCCAGGGGTTTGAGACCAGCCTGGGCTATATAACGAGACCAGGTCTCTATGTAAAAAATAATTTAAAAAAATTATCCAGGTGTGGTGGTGTACACCCCTGTAGTCCCAGCTACTCAGGAGACTGAGGTGGGAGGATTGCCTAAGTCCAGGGAGTTAAGGCTGCGGTGAGCCAGATTGTGTTGTGCCTGGACAACAGAGTGAGACTCCAACTCAAAAAAACCTTTTTTTTTTGACATGCTGTTTCTAACTCAATATCATTAGTACACTGGTACATTCCAGTCTTTTCTCCTTTGTAACTTCATTCTTGAGTGGTTAGAAACTCCGCTGTTGTTACTGACAACATATTATTTGTGTAATTCTGTTATTCAGATAAAGTACTCTCGGAATTGCTAACCCATACTCCTGTGAGAAATGCACTCACTAAATTAGAATACAATAATTCTTCCCATCCTTAGCCTAAAAGTATCCAGTCAAGGTGATGTTTTCCGAAGTTACTTAGGCGAATTCCTTTCTTCCCTCTGCCTTCAGTGTGGCTACTATTCATTTGTGATCCAGTCAAAGTCAGTTAGTTTTTTGTTTTTTGAGTCAGAGTCTCCCTCTGTCGCCCAGGCTGGAGTGCAGTGGCACACTCACAGCCACTGCAGCCTCTACCTGCTGGGTTCAGGTGATCCTTCCACCTCAGCCTTCCAAGTAGCTGGAACTACAGGCACGCGCCGTCATGCCCGGCTAATTTTTCTTGATTTATTATAAAGGCGAGGTCTCGCCAAGTTTCCCAGGCTGGTCTCAAACCCATGGGCTCAGGTGATCCTCTCACCTCGGCCTCCCAAAGTGCTGGGATGACAGGCATGAAGTTTTTATGGAATGGTGTCTTAAATTTTTGTTCCACACCGCCTTGCAGTTAAGCATTCTGAGCAGTTAAAAGCTAATATCTGGGTAGGATCAGGGAAATGATTACTAGAACACTGGGCTGCTAATTGCTCAATTAGGATTTGATGTAAGTATCTTACAACAGCGTTCAAAGTATTTGAGTTTTTACAGTGCCTTGGGTTAACAGGATTCTCTAGGAGAAAATGTATACCATGGTTCTGCACAAACCTCCAAATGTTAAAGTGCACTTTAAGGCAAAGGAGAGAAAAAAGAAAGAAAGTGACAGAGAGGGTGGGGCTGTCCCTGGGGTGATATGCCCCATGAGCTCGGTCCTCTTGAGCACTGAAATGAGCAGTGGGTTTGGGGACCACTGACGGGGATGGCCCCTCATACGTCCATCTTCCATAGAAACTAAGACATTTAGGGTCCCTGAGGCAGGCCTGTCACTTGAGGGTGGTTACAGTTCCCCTGACAGCACCATTAACTGGCCAGAGACGTAGTACTCTTTGGTTCCACCACACAGACATGGAAGTCACCCCCAGAGGGAACCCAAGAGGCCTCATCAGGGGACACCCCCACCTACCAGCGATCATGGCCACTGAGAAGGTCGCGCTGAGAATACGCTCATGTGCTAAACTCGCTTGCTCCTGGCCTGTCAGTACGTGAGTGCTGGCTTTAAAATATCTGCAACCCATAATACCACAAGAAAGGGACTGGCAGTAGCGGGACACTGCCAGGGTGGGGACACAACATCAATAAGGATACCTGATTTCAAGCCAGGCAAAGTGGGGACCAAAGGGAGGCCCAAACTTTACCTGTAGGATGTCCACCTGTATACCTAATCCTGCATTGTATACCACATCTTTAAAATAAAACATTAAAAATAAAATAAAATACCTCCAGTCTTGATCGCTGGAGCCCAGCCAGGTGAGTTCCCCACCAGCCTGGGCAACATGGCAGGATCCTGCCTCTATAGCAACAACAAAAAATACAAAACATAGCCAGGAGTGGTGGCACACACCTGTAGTACCAGCTGCTTGGGAGGCTGAGGTGGAAGGATCGCCCGAACCCAGGAGGTCGAGGCTACAGTGAGTCATGATTGCACCACTGCACTGCAGCCTGGGCAACAGACCAAAACTTGTCTCTAAAAAATGAATAAGTAAAACATCTCACGTCTTCCAAGTACTTCCCAGTGTCAAAATTAACATTCCAACAAGAGAATGCTAATATCAAACTTCAGCAGAGGGAAAGCTTAGGATTCTAGTTTTTCTATTAGAAAATTAATTAGGCCGGGCCAGGTGGCTCGGCCTGTCATCCCAGCACTTTGGGAGGCCAAGGCGAGTGGATTACCTGAGCCCACAGGTTCAAGACCAGTCCAGGCAACTTGGTGACACCTCGTTTCTACAATAAATAAAACATTAGCCAGGCGTGGTAGTGCACGCCTGTAGTTCTGGCTACTTGGAAGGCTGAGGTGGAA